TTCGAGATTGAAGCGGACGGCCCTGCTGTGCAACAGCGACCTCATCACAGGCCTGGCTGTCACGTGTGATGGATCCCACGAGCACCTGCCCTGGAAAGTGCAAGAGGGAGTTCTCGCAACAAAGCTTGAGACTGCGTATCCACACCAGTTTTGTAAGCACTTTGTTTCCCTGCTGCTGCAGCATCTGACACAGAAGGGTTGTCGGGATGGTCTGAATCTCTTGGAGGCAGATCCCGCAAACTCCTCAGGAGCCAGGGTGGTAACGACACAGGCGAAGACCAAAAGGGCCGCATCGTTTCAGGTTATCCCCGAATTTCGCAGACGAATCAGATGGACAGTGCCCGGCCAACTCCGTAGTGCTCTCCAGACTACACAGTGGTTGGCACCGGACAGGATCCCGGGCTTCAAGGCGCCAGGAGCCCCGGCGCTGAGAGTGACGCCCCTACTGTCTTCTGCGACGGATGTGCTGGTGGAGGTCCCGTGGAACCCACAGGAATTTGTGGCGAAAGCCCGACTGGCCGGCCACCCCCGACACCTGTGTCTCGGGGTGCCACCCGCCCTGCGGAAGGCAATTTTGGCGTGTTCTAAACAGCCTGCAACCAACATGATTGAGACTCGAGCTGCGCAGTCACGGAGATGGCTCCAGCGAGCCCAGGAGCTGCAGTTAGCTGAAGACGACTTCAAAGCCAAGCTGCCCGAGCACATCCGCAGCAGCCTCCGTAACAAGAGAATACTGCTCTTCAAAGAGATGCTAGAAGCGTCCCACTACGCCGACAAGGCAGTGGCAGACGACCTGGCACAGGGTTTTGATCTTGTGGGGCATTTGGACCTTCCGGCAGGCTGGTCCACCGACTTTCGTCCAGCATTCCTCTCCCTGAAGGACCTGTCCCAACTGACGCAGGAGACCAACCACCAGGTCATCAAGGAAGTTGAGGACTCATCTCAGTTCCTGGAAGAACTGTGGCAGAAAAGTCTCGATGAAGTATCAAAAGGCTGGTCGGAAGGACCTTTCCGAGAGCAGGACTTGCCACAAGGAGCTGTAGTCAGCAAACGTTTTGCAATCCAACAAGGGAACAAGGTCAGGCCGATTGACGACCTGTCCCAGAGCCACATCAACGAGGCATTCGGGAGCATGGGGAAGATCGAGTTGCATGACATCGAGACAATTGCAGCGTCGGCCATCTTGTTCCTGAGGCACGCAGGACAAGGACTGCTTGGTAAAACCATTGACCTGAAATCAGCATATAGGCAACTACCACTGTCCGAAGAGGCACTCAACATGGCCTACGTGGCTGTCAAGGACCCCAATTCGGGGGAGGTTCGCTTCTTTAGGCTTCTCTGCCTTCCATTCGGCGCTGTGGCGGCGGTCCATGCATTCATCAGGGTCAGCCTGGCTATTTGTCATATAGGAAACACGTTTTGGCACTTGCCTTGGAGCTCTTTTTACGATGACTTCACACTGTTGTCAACACGACAGCTGGCCACTAGCGCAGAGGCCAGTGCATGTTTTCTGCTAGACTTGCTCGGCTTTGAGTTTGACAGAGACGGAGACAAGGCCCAGCCGTTCCAGGAGGTCTTCAGATCTTTGGGGGTCGAATTTGACCTTACAGACAGCAGCAAGCAGATATTTAGGATCCAGAATACAGCAGAGCGGACCAAAAGTCTCATCGAAGACCTGGCAGCCTTTCAGGAGCAAGGAGCCTCAAGCCCTAAGACCTGGAATCGACTGAGGGGAAGGCTGCACTTCGTGGCGGGCCAACTCTCTGGGCGCTTGCCGAAGGGCTTCGTGAGAAGAATCTCTGACATCATCAATGCCCCCGCATATGTCAGGAGACAAAACCAAGCCTCCCTTTGCGCAGCACTGCAGGGGCTACGACACTACATAGCCGAGGCGTCGCCGAGGATAGTGCGAGCCCAGACCTCAGAGACGGTGTACGCCTTTACGGACGCCTCGCAAGAAGGACTCCAAGGCCTCGAAATGGGCCTGGGAGCAGTCCTGTTCAATCAGGAGGGGCACATCCTGTGCTGGTTTGGCATTGTGTTGCCGCATGACCTTGCTGAGAAACTTCTGCAAGGAAAGTCTAAAGTCATCAACGAGCTCGAGAGCATAGCTGTTCTCCTGCTATTCATTCTAGCCCGAGAGTTTCTGCGGGGGAAACATGTGATGTGCTACTTAGACAATGAGGCGGCGCGCATAACGCTCCTCAAGCTGACCAGCGATTCAGAGGCTTTGACCCTCTTGAGCAATGCTTGCGCATTGTTAGAACAGGAGCTTGAGATGATTCCGTTCTACGCTCGGGTACCGAGCAAATCCAACGTGGCGGACGCCCCGTCTCGCCTTGACTTTACAGGGCTGCCACACAATTGCAGGTTCCAAGACCAGGTGCTTCTTGCGGAAATGGCCAAGCTGGTGAACTCGCTCGTCGGGCGCGGGGCCTGAAACCCCATGACCAAGGAAGGGACTTGCATTCTCCCCGACCAAGAGAGGGAGCTTTCGTTTCTCACACACCTGCAGAGGACAGATCTCGGATGGAAGCAGACATAGCAAATCCCCTTCCTTGGAAAAGATGCCAGTGCATAAGCTTCAGTCGTGTTAGCGTGAGGGTGCATGTCATTGCAGTCGGTGCATGTGAATAGCATTGCCGTGCATGGAACACCAATGAATGAGCATAACATCGATGGATCGCGTACTTTCAGCCAGGCGATGTTTTCATACATGTGAAACATTTTTGTTTGGAAAATAAGGTAATCGTGCTGTAAGTACAAACCTTTATTTTCCGGAGAAAAATTTTCGAATTCTACGAATGAGAAAGTTTTTCGGCTCAGACGAAGAGAGGCCACAGCCCTCTCAGCCACAACCCTCGTGGAGAGGGTCCGGGAAAATTTTTCTGCCCACCCACCCACTCCAATTGTGCCTTACATTGGGCAGTTGAGATGAAACGTGATGCCGGAACAGCGGGTCTTGATGAAGAGACGAACAGAGAATCAAGGATCCAATGGCTGGCAGTGATGGTAACCAATGTGCCGGTTGTGGATGTTGTGCTTTGTAGAGTGGCGACCACAGGAACAGTTGACGACGTCAAGTTTGCGGTTGCTGACGATGTGTGGCATCGCTCTGGGCATGACTTACGTACTTCCAGTTTCCGCTTGGAAATGCAGGGTCGTCATGTGCCTTACAGCACGAACCTGATGCCAGTGCATAAGCTTCAGTCGTGTTAGCGTGAGGGTGCATGTCATTGCAGTCGGTGCATGTGAATAGCATTGCCGTGCATGGAACACCAATGAATGAGCATAACATCGATGGATCGCGTACTTTCAGCCAGGCGATGTTTTCATACATGTGAAACATTTTTGTTTGGAAAATAATGTAATGTAATGTAATGTGGTGTGTGTGTGTGTGTGTGTGTGTGTGTGTGTCTCTCTCTTTCTCTCTCTTTCTCTCTCTTTCTCTCTTTCTCTCTTTCTCTCTTTCTCTCTTTCTCTCTTTCTCTCTTTCTCTCTTTCTCTCTTTCTCTCTTTCTCTCTTTCTCTTTTCTCTTTCTCTCTTTCTCTTTCTCTCTTTCTCTTTCTCTCTTTCTCCCTCTTCTCTCTTTCTCTCTTTAGTCTCTCTCTCTTTCTTCTGCGATCGCCACTTCCTTTTCGCTACTTTCTATCGTTCTCCTCGTTTCTCTCTTTTTTCGACGACTCTATGGAGAAGTGCATTTAACTCTTGCTCTCTTTCTTCGCTTTTCTCTCTTTCTCCTCCTCTTCTCCTTCTTTCTCTCTTTGTCCTCTTTCCTCTTCTCTCGTTCTCAATTTCGTTTTTCTCTCTTTTCTAGTCTCTTTTTTCCTCTCTGTTCTCTTTTTCTGTCCTTTCTCTCCTTTCTTCTTCTTTTCTATCGTTCTTATCTTTTCTCTCTTTTATCTCTTCTCTCTTTCTCTCTCTTTTTCTCTCTTTCTCTCTTTTTTTCTCTTTCTCTCTTTCTCTCTTTCTCTCTTTCTCTCTTTCTCTCTTTCTCTCTTTCTCTCTTTCTCTCTTTCTCTCTTTCTGTCTCTTTCTGTCTCTTTCTGTCTCTTTCTGTCTCTTTCTGTCTCTTTCTTTCTTTTTCTCTCTTTCTCTCTGTTTCTCTCTCTTTCTCTCTCTTTCTCTTTCTTTCTCTCTCTTTCTCTCTCTTTCTCTTTCTTTCTTTCTTTCTCTCGTTCTCTCTTTCTGTCTCTTTCTGTCTCTTTCTGTCTCTTTCTGTCTCTTTCTGTCTCTTTCTGTCTCTTTTTCTTTCTTTTTCTCTCTTTCTCTTTCTTTCTCTCTCTCGTTGCGTACTTCTTTCTCTCTTCTATTCTCTCTCTCTCTCTCTCTCTCTCTCTCTCTCTCTCTCTTTCTCTCTCTCTCTCTCTCTCTCTCTCTTTCTCTCTCTCTCTCTCTGTGTCTCTGTGTCCGAGTCTGCGTCTATGCCTGTGTATGTGTATATGTGTGTGTGTGTGACTGCGTGTGCGTGTGTTGTGTTTTCCTGTGGCAGGCACGGTGCTCAGATTGATTTAGATGTGCTTTTTGCGTGGCAGGCATAATGCCAATTTTGGTCAAGTTGAATGCCAATCGCGGTCGCTTCGGGTCCCAACTGAGTGCGATGTACTTGTTAACCCTTCCATTTTATATTTTGCATGCCCGACTTGAGTTTTTTCACGAGAGGGGTCGTGCTGCTGTGTTTCGCCAAGAAGCCCTTTCAGAACATCGTTTGAACAGGCTACTGTTCTACCAACGTGTTGATGGCACCTTTTCCTGTGTTTTTTGGCACGCCGCGCTCTCCCGATTCAACACGAACAATCGATCAGTACGCATTGTTCTTCAACTTTGAGACGTGGCCAGCGGGATTGGCAATTCTGATGTTTCGACGCGTGCCATTCAAAGGACGATTGAACCTTGTTCATGAACAGAGTTACTCGACAAATCTTGGATGCTTGACTTGTTTGCTGCAGCAAAGTTTTGGCCAGTGCTGCCTGGGCTGCTTTGCCAGCTGCTTTGAGTCATGGACCGGGCTATGGTGAGTGAGACAGTGGTTGCGGCTTGCAAACAGATCACAACGAAACTTTAGCCAGGAACGCCACCAAACACGCTCTGTTTCGGTCATGCTGGCTTCGCTGCTGGCGTTCAAAGCTCAGTTGTCCGTGCACAGCACCGCAGCCCAAACAGTACAAAGGGGCACTCCGATGAGGTTCGGTGCTCTTGCAGGCGCAGCTGCCTTTGTCCAGGGCAGGCACCTTGACTCACTTTGACATCATGCAATTGCTTGCAGCCACTCACGCCTGAATTTCAACGAGTCGGCAAAATCATCCACAACACAGGCCTGGAGCATCTTCAGAGCCATCGTTGCGGTCGAAGAAGTTGGCAGATTCGCTGCACCCGCTGCCAGATGAGGTGCTGGGGCTCAGATCATGTTGGGAGTTGGCCAAGCGAGCTGGTCCAGCGAGCTCGAGCAGGAAGCAATGGACTCTCCTTTCGACTGGCTGTCGAGCGTGTCCTCCCACGCCCTCACGGCCGGCGCAGTCCTGGGCTTGGTGCTGGCACTGGCGCAGGCTCATCTTCCCGCCAGCTACTTTCTTAAAAGGTGACCCCTCATGGCCTGGTAATCCTTTCCGGTCCCCTGCGTTCGTTCCTTGTTCTCTTGCGATCTCTGCTGAGCTCTTGTGATCTATCCTGCTCAAGTTCTTCTTCGTTTTTGTTTTGCAGGCTCCGGTCCGAGCCGAAGACAGGCTACTGAGCGGCTACTGGAGCAGTTCGTGTGAGAGAGGTGGCTCGAGTTTTGCGCCTGAAAGGTCTCGCTTCGACGTGGAGGCTCAGGCTGGCGGAAGGGTGGCCGAGTCGTGTGCGCTTTGTTATCGAGCTTTTCTCCTAGGTGGTCATGGCCAAGGGCAGCTCCCCAATGAAGGAGAAGACGAAGAAGGAACTTCTCGCAGTGACCTTGGAGCCTTTTGGGACGTTTCGGGCATCTGAGTGCCACATGTCGGGTATGTGTGCCTGCAAGCTCTAGCCACTCAGGCAGATCAAAAGAAGGTTGAGGAGGCCACCAAGACAAAGGCCTTGCGTCCAGCAAATGCAGAGTTATGCAGAGCCGAGATGCGCAAGCAGAAATGGTGTTCGTTTGCCAGGTGCGCACTTCCAAGGACAACGTGGCCATTGCACCAAAGCTGTTGGCACCATGGGACACCAGTGCTGGAGTTAGTCTTCTGCATCCTCGGAGCACAGGACGCCTTCGGCAAGTTTACGGAGGGCTTCGAAACCGAGGCTGCGGGCTGCAAATGAGCCCCGAGACCCATAAGCGTCATGCATCGCGAGACGTTTGGAGACTTTGGTCCTGGCTGCACCCTGTACCAACCCAAATGGTCCGTTGAGCTTATGAATACCAGGCCCTTGGCACCGAGTTCAACGATGTGCGGCCGCATCTCGGCTGATTCTGGAGACCATTTTGAATAAGTTTGTCCAGGTGCCAGGGGTTTACCAGGGGTTGGCCATAGGTTTGCCAAAGGTTTGCCATAGGTTTGTCCAGGGGCTGTCCACAGGAGCTGTCTAGACATGGAGATTGTGCACTGGAGAGGTTTCGTGTTCCGCTCAGGGCCCGCTCAAAAGTGCGCAAGTCTCTCCAGAAGGAGCCAGTCGCTGCATTTGGGAGGGTTGTGCGCCCTGTGGAGTTGCCATGAAGTCATTCCATCTCGCAGCAAGAGGCCAACGAGGGCTTCAAAGTTACGGGCTTGCCTGATCTGCCTTCCTTGGGCCTCCCCGCGCTGCCGAGCATCGCGGGGCGCCCAGCGTGGCTTTGGTGGCCAGGGGGGAGGGGGGACACATACGAGAGCCCCACACGTGGGAACCTCATCTTGGTTTTGTCGTTCATTGCCCTTATTGGTTTTCTCTTTGTTGAGTCCGCTTGTCGCATCTGAGTCTGGGCCTTCCGTTCCGGAGCTGAGCAGCGAAGCCACTGCTGGCATCGCCTCAGGACATGTCAGAGAAAGGGTCCATGGATGGTTCAGAGCATTGACCGTCCGGGACCGTCCCTTTGTCCTGCGCGTCCCCTTTCAATCCCAGGAGCTTTGGTGTCGCTGGGGCTGCCGGCCCTCGCCGTGGCCGGAGTGCCTGACCAAGTTCGACTAAGATCCCATTTGGGCGACGCAGGGCTCAGAGGTCCTCACACGACACAAACGGCACACAAACGCCGTCAGCATCTTTCAACCAATGCTTCTCAGGTTGTAAACAGCCGAATCGCGGACAAGCAGCGTGAAGAGGCAGAGAGGCGCGGCGAGACGGATCTACAGGAATTTGTTCCCGCGTCGGAGTGTGCTTGGGTTTCCATTCTGTACCTCTTGGATTTTCTTGCCGTTTGCCGTGAACCATTAGTGCACCACATTTCAAGACCCGGAACCCAAAGCCCACCCCAATCTTCAGGATTGCTCGGGAGAAGAAGGAGGGAGAAGCCACCACCGGAGCCATTCTGCACGGCCCCCGGAAACATGAGAAACAGCCAGGTTCATGGTGTATCAGGGTTTCTGTTTCTTCGGACACCACTGCGAGAGGCTTTCTGTCCCGGTACATTTGAACGGTTCTGTGGTTCATATTCTAGGGGCTGCTAGAAAGGTACTTGATTTACTTCATAAAAGAGCATAGCTTGAATTCAGTTGGTAGTTACATCAATCCTTTTGCTTCCCTTTGCTGTCGCCCAGGACAGTAGCGGGCCTTGGTGCGGCCGCACTGCTCACCGGTGCGGTGATCTCCTCGGCCGTGGCCTTGAGAGCACATGTGAGAGCATGCGCGTGAGAGTTACAAGAGGCCCAAAGAGCTCGCGCCAGATTCTGGTTTCCAGCGCAGCTGTTCTGTTGACCCTGTGTCGGCTCAGATTCCGCCGCAGAAGGCCCCAGTGCCCACGAAGGACTTCCTGGGTGTGCCTTGACCCCTCAGCCCCTCATCGTCCTAAAGTGGAAGCGTCCTGAACCGCTCTGACGTTTCTGCCATCTTCGCGCCTCTAGGAGGTGACGCAGACCCAACCGGCCTCGAAGCCAGCCTCTGAGGAGGCTGTCAGAAAAGGGCCCACAATGCTTGATGTTTGCAGGCATGCCAGGCATGTGGGTCAGCTGCGAATTGGCACTTCTCACGCCTCTCCGCAGGCCGCACCGAAGCCGGCGGAAGCAGCAAAGGTGGCCGCTGTAAGCGTTGGGCCAGTTCGCGGCATGCCGTCAGTGCGTTCGCATCGGCAAGGGGTGTGATTGGGGATTTGGTTTCCTTGTGTTGGACATCCCATAAGAAGAAAGTCTCGGCGCGGCAGTGTTGACAAAGCGCAATAAGAAAATAGAAAGGGTGGTTGTGCAGGCGGATGATGCGGAAAAGAAGGTGCCTCGGCCAAGGGCAGCGGGTGCTTGGGTTCTTGGGGCCGATGTGTACGTTCCATTTCCAACCCCACCAGGCGGCGGCGGAGAAGGCGGCGGCGGAGAAGAAAGCGGCCGAGAAGAAGGCGGCGGAACAGAAGGCGGTGGCCGAGAAGGCTTTGGTAGACCACCCTGCCCCCCCCGAAGTTTCTTAGTTCCCTCGAGCACGCATCAAAGCTGCACTCGAGGCTGCCACCTCGTCCTCGTCTTCGGGAGAGGGGCCGCCGGTAGCCTTGATCGGTGGGGCAGTGGTGGCTGTGGGGGCAGTGGTCGCTGCTGTGGCCTCTGGTGGCGGAGAGGAAAAGAAGGTGGAGGCAGGTGCCTCCTTCACAGTGCAAGCTACAAGCAACATTAGACGCCTTCTTCAACTAGCATGAACTAGTACACTGCTGTATGTTGCAGTCGCAGTGCTTTTCTGTGCCTCAAGACATGGCAGCAGCTGTGCAGAGTAGAGGTGTGCCGCCAGGCCGAAGAGCCCGCTGCAGAGCCCGCAGAGCCCGAAGCTGCCGAAGAACCTGAGACCGACACCAAGACCAAGAAAGGGGCCAAGGGGAAGAAGGGGAAGAAGGGGAAGGGGAAGAAGTGAACAAAAGAGCAGCTGAGCCAGCTAAGAGCCCCTGTCAAGAAGATGGCTGCCACGGCAGCGCTTTTTAAACGTTAGTTAGTCTCACGTTGGATTCCTATATGCATGGTCTTTCGAACTGCTGCAAGTCCTGAATGCGAGTCCCGGTTGTGAAGCGTCATGCCCTGGGTCGTGCAGGCGTGTTGTTTAGAGCATGTGCGAGTTGCACGGACTCTCTTGGACTTGTTCCAGGAACAGAGACCCGTTTTCCGACCGCCAGTTAACCAGGCACATAGCCTGGCAAGCCGTCGGCAAAAAAAACAAGTGTGTGATAGTCTCTGCATCCTTCTGCTGCTGCCTCCTCTCAGTCTATGGAGCTTAGCACAATTTCGCGCAACACATCCGGAACTTCGCGTCCCAGCCCTCAAGCACCGAAGGGATCTGGAGCCCCGAAGCCCCGAAGCCCAACCATGGCCCGTCGACCTGCCCGGTCCTTACGCGATGCCTTAGAGCCGTAGAGCAATGCTCAGTAGAGCAATGCTCAGTAGAGCAATGTTGTGTGGAAGGGACTGGATGAAGTTGCAGACCGACTGTTGATGTTTTGTCAGGTGCTTGCATCTGCGGTCGTTGCGCTGGCATTGGTCAGAATCTCGTTGTACTACGAGGCGTGAAGCCGAGCGAAGTGCAGGTTTTGGTTGCTGTGCAGGCCGTTGCCTTCCACGGCCTTTGCCGCTGGGCATTCGTCGCGCCAGCATCAGGCCCGAGCTGTCGGAGCACCACAGGTGGCCTCAGGTGGCCTCAGGTGCTTGTACCACCTACGTTTTTATGGGCCGGACCTGCCGTGACCTTCCGAGCCTGTGAGGCCGAGTGGGACTCAGCCGGGGCGCAGGGGAGCCCAGCCTATGTGTTGGTTGTGGACATCATGGGCCTCTCCATGCTATGCTCATTCAACCATGGGCAATCCTCAGGACACATCGGATGCTTTGCATCCAGTGGTTGGCTGTTGAAGTGGTTGGCTGGGTTAAAATGGCCAAATCAGTACTGAAAAAATAGGACATTGAGCTGGGCTTTTGGTGCAGGGTGAGCGTGTAGAAGCGTAGAAGCTGCAGAAGACCTCTCAGCCCAATTGATGCACCACAAAGGCCGTGACCTTGGGGACGTCTTCGGCAACATTGGGAACCAGCGAGCCCCTCTTCGGCGCAGGGCTAGCAGCGGCTTGCGGTGTCGCCTGGGCCTTCCACACCCATTGTACTTTTCACATTCGGCAAATTCCTAGATTTAGGAAACGCCCCTACTCACGCAAACCCACGCCAAGGCCGGCAGCGCAGCGTTGGCCGCCTTGGCTTCGCGCTCCTCGTCCCGGGCCTCGCGCCCAAGACAGCGCAAGCGGATGCTCGCGGCTTGTGTTGAGCACTGCGCCGCGTGATCATTCCAAGCAGCAGCAGTTCTAGGCAGTGCCTCAAGGCTGTGCGGGCAGTGTTGCACAAGTGTGGGGCCACTGGGCACTGACCCTCTCAAGGTCACCGTCCGTGCCAACCCGGGGTCCCCGAGCCTGATCCAGGCGCCAGCCTCAGAGCTTGCTTCGCCCACTTGGGCCTGGGCGCAAGGTGGAGGGTTCGGTTTTGCCTTGTTTGGGGCGGCTGCTGCTGCTACGACGACGACGAGGACGACGACGACTACTGCTACTACTGCTGCTACTACTACTACTACTACTACTACTACTACTACTACTACTACTACTACTAGTACTAGTACTGCTACTGCTACTGCTACTACTACTACTACTACTACTACTACTACTACTACTACTACTACTACTACTACTACTACTACTACTACACTACTACTACTACTACTACTACTACTACTACTACTACTACTACTACTACTACTACTACTACTACTACACTACTACACTACTACTACTACTACTACTACTACTACTACTACTACTACTACTACTACTACTACTACTACTACTACTACTACTACTACTACTACTCCTACACTACTACTACTACTACTACTACTACTACTACTACTACTACTACTACTACTACTACTACTACTACTACTACTAGGCTAGCGCGCCTCAGGGCGCCTGGTCGTTTTGCTGCGGCTGAACGTCCGGACATTGGTGTTTTGCGTCATTTCCGGTAGAGGCCGAAAATGTAACTTAAAAAAAACTACTCGCGGGCAAGGGAAAGGAAGGTTTCAGGGTTTGGAAGCGATGTGTTGCTGTATGCCGGTCCCTGTTCTAAAGGTCAAGTCTGCAGCCCGTAGAGAAACAAAAACACTGTAAATACCAGTGTTTTGGGCATGGTCGCCAAAGGCAAGGACGCTTGTGAATGCATTTCTTGTTCCACATCCTTATGCAGTATGTTGTACAAAGTGGCGGAAATGCTGTAAATACCAGTGTTTTGGGCGTAAACACCAGTGTTTTGGGCATGGTCGCAAAAGGCAGGGACGCTTGTGACAACGTGTCTTGTTCCACAACCTTGCGCGGTATGTTGTACAAACTGGCGAAAACGCTGTAAATACCAGTGTTTTGGGCATGGATGCAATATGAATGATGTCCCCCCCCCAACCCCCCCACCCCCCCACCCCCCCACCCCCCCACCCCCCCACCCCCCACCCCCCCCCCCCCCCCAACAAGAGCAAAAAACGCACCAAAACGCACCAAACTGCCAGGCGCCTGGGGGCGCGCTTTGCTACTACTACTACTACTACTACTACTACTACTACTACTACTACTACTACTACTACTACTACTACTACTACTACTACTACTACTACTACTACTCCCACTATTCTACTACTCCTCCTCCTCCTGCTCCTCCTCCAGCAGCAGCAGACATTGAAATGTTAATGCAAGGTAAGGAAAAGGGCAAATCACAGCACAACAAAGAAATATGTACGCACTGTATCTTCACCATGGAGGTCCCTTTGTGCGCGGCGCACGGACCATGGTGAGGATGCATTTGTGGGGCCGTGCGCCCGCTTTGGGTTCGGACCTGCCTTCAGGGCTTCTCTTGAAAGCCCCGGAACCTTCCCACAACCCGCCGGTCCTTGATGCTCACACCGCAATGGTACCCAATGAAAACCGCAGCAAAACCATACCGCTGCACTGTTTGGAGTGTTGCCCCGGAGATGCACATGATCGAAGCGCTTGGCTCGATGCTGCTCGCTCCCTGTGAGGTAAAGGCGAAGGGTCCTCTTCTCGGAAACCCCATGGGCAGGGGTCAGAGGGTCTTGGGAGCAAGGGGGGTGAGGGGGGGACCGGAGGGTGAGGGTGGTGGGTACGGTGGCAGGGTGGAAATGCCGACAGAACCGGGGGGCAGTATGACGAGAAGGAAGGCCTTCACGGGTGCCGCGGTGGAGATCTCATCTTGGATACGCACTCGCTTTTTGTATATACGAGCGTTTGTTTCAGATTTTGTTTGTATTCAGTGAGCCTGGTATTTCGAATTCAATGAATGTTCCCAAAAAGTATAGTTCGTACTTCATGAGAACTTCATTCACATGTTCGGTCAAGATTATGCTTAGTACTGTTTTTCTCTAGAAAAGCAATAAATGCCTACAACAACATTCTTTGCAAAAATAATGGAACATTTGCCTAGGGAAATTCACAAGGCAATTGTCACGTTTCTAGGGAACTTGTGCATGTCTAGCCTTGGCTTAGTATATACGCGTATTCATTGAGTATGCCAGTAGTAGTCGTGTGCTTTTTGACATGTCAAACGTGGCAAAGCCATCCCGTGCTGCTAGTTGTGTCTCAAGTAAAGTTTAGTGCGCATTCAAGTAGTTTGATAAGAAGTGCTCATGAATGTTGAGCTGTTCAAGTATATATAGTTCTAGGAAAGCAATTCGGACTGAATGAGCACTTAAGTAGAAGCCATCAATACTACCAAGTTTTTCATTACTATATGACAAGCTAGGGTGCTTCAACTGCCTTTTTCGTATAGTATCTACAGTAGTCAATACTTTGTCCGGAAAACACTTTTGCCTTGAAAAAGCACAATGGTGGGGGGTTTGGGGTTAGCAGATATGTATGTATACAGATATCTTCATTTTCGATATTTATACAATGTTGTCTTTGTCTGGTGATCAGATCTCTTGTCCGTGGCTGGCGCCTTGGGGTCGCCACATCTGGATGCGTAGTAGGCGTCAACAGTGAGGGTGCTCTCTTTCTCCTGTTAGTCTCGGTCCTACTGGTCCTACTGCATTCACACCCTGCTGTTCTGCTTTTGACGTCTCATCACCGGCCCGAGCCCAGGTTCTGGAGCAGAAGGGGCTGCTTTCCACAGTAGAGAGCTGCCTGGCGCACCCCACTTTGTGTGCCCCATCCACCTGCAACAATTCTTTGCGCTTGAACAGAAGAGGGTTTCCTTTGTGCCTTCTTGCATGCGCTAAGAGCTGAGACTTGGGTCTCCTCTCCGGTGCAGAGAGGGCTGGCGTCAAGGTGAGCACGGTTGAGGCGCGAAAAGAGGTTTTTTTTTTTTTTTTTTTGTGGCGCGCGGATGAGTGCAGCAGTCCGGATTCAGTCCGGATTGCGAGAAGGGGAGGATGCCCCGAAGCGGGGCACCCTCCCAGATTATACCCTAGAGCGAAAGGAGTTGGGGCTCCTGAAGCTGGCAGAGAAGCTGAACTTGCTGAGCCTGGCAGAGAATGTGGCGCAGCTGAAGGATGCTTAATGAAGATGTTCGCCCAGGGTTTAGCTCTCAGGTTTTTGGTTGCCGACTTCTGATAGGATGTCGAGAACAACGGGTGAGGGTGACATGCAGTGGCAGAGTGCAATTGTTTTTGGCTTATTTGCAATTGGCTTTGGTTTATGAATCGGTTCTTCAGATTCCTCTTCTGTGAGTGCCTTTTGGGCTGCCTTAAAGGACTCAGTAAAGCTGTGTGCGAGGCAGCCTAAAAAAGGTTCGAGTGTGCTTGAGGGTCATGACTTTCCATGCCTAGGTCTTGACCAATGGCTCCACTCCCTTCCTCATGCTGGCAGGACTCCGCTGAGAAGAAGCCCG